CCCAACTTCAAATGTCTTCATGGTCTAGGACACTTAGAATCCAACAGACAGTTAGAAAAAAAAAAACAGAAACTGCTGCTCACTCAACATCCTTCTCCCTGCCTGGCCGCCCATGCAATCAGCAGAAAGGTTGCATTAGAAACCACAAGGACATGACAGGCATACATTGAAATCCGACCCTTATATTTCCACTCACCCCTCCCATTTTCCAGGGATGTGAAGACTTTGCTTCAGGCTATGGAAGTTTGCTCTGGGAACACAAGAGCTGCAAAGCTCTTAATTGTTGGTACCAGAAAAACAAACAAACAAACAAACAAAAAGAAACAAGGAAAAGCAAGCTCTTACAAGTGCTGGGCCTGGGCCAGAGAACTAAGGAACAGAAGAAGTTGGATAGGTCCCCATGACTGGCCAGTTCTGACCATCTAAACAGCTGTGGTAGAGACATTACTCAGTGTGGGAGGAAGCTAAGATGTTTTCAGATCTAGCCCCTAAGGAAACCATAATGAAAGAGAACTGAGCAGGGTAGTGGATAACAAGGGAAATAAAAGGGGAAAAAACCCTGAAAGTACCAAAGATTTCAGGAAGAAGACAATTCAAAGACCTTGAAGATAAACAGAATAATCAATGAGAAAAAAAAAGAAAAAACATTAACAACAGAAGGAAATAAGGCCTCCAGATCTAGTAAACAAGTTTAGGCATCTATAAATAAACACTACAACATGAAGGAAAATGATACAACGTTGATGAGACAGAGGACCCAGAGGAAACTGAGGACAACATGGAAATAAATATGGCATGATGTTTGAGAGGTTTAAAAAAGAAACGAGAATTATGAGAGCATATTTTTGTCCTGCATAATAAAAAAATAATGGGCTAAATAGAAAAACTTGAATCTGCATTGGCAAGCCTCACCAAAGAAACAAAGAGAGAACAACAGATAAAGAATGTGCATATGCAGAAGTGAAGGAAAATCTAGAGGAAAAGATTCAAAAAATAATACCATTAAATGAAAATAAGCTCACTATCTTTTTTTAGAAGCTCACTATTTCAAGCAATGAATACTGACCTCAGAGGCGTGATATATAGAATCACCCTAAGGAACATAGATTTCCCAGAAAAACATGACAAGACAAAAGTATGTAAAACCATAAAAAGAAAATATACTACCCAGAGCTACTGAACATGGAACATTAAATTCCAATTGAAACATTTCATAGATCCCCTCTAGAAAAAAAAAAAAAAACAAGACCACAGACTGACACGCAGAAGTTAAATTTAATAAATCAATTCAGAAATAAATTTTATAAGTAACAATAATACTATGAATAACAGTTTCCATTTATATGGCATTCACTATATGCTAGGAACTAGGCTAAGCACTTAGTTGTGTCATTTCATCTTCACAACAACCCTGGTAGGTCGATGCTATTATTATCCTTACTTTATCAATAGGGATTAAGTGATTTGCCACACAGTAATTTTTGAGGCTGGATTTGAATTCATGTCTTCTTGACTCTGAGCCTCATTCTCTACCCACTGTACAACCCAACTGCTCCCATCAGAAGAAAGTCCTTCAAATAAAAGGAAAGTGGATTCAAGTAATTTGAAACTATTCTGTAACCACTAGGAAAAAAAAGTGGTGGGAATGGAATCATGTGTTCCAAAGATTACTGGTGCTCAGGATTCAACCCATGAGATACAGAACAAAGGACGGACATTCAATAGTAAAGAAGAATTTGAAATATTTCACAAAGAAAATCTGAAATGAAGAGATTACTTGCCTCCCAAATACCAAACTACAGAATTGCAGGAGGAATAAATAAATGTGCCAGGCAAGGACAGCATCATCAACAGAGTGACAAGAGAGCAATAAATTTTAAAAGCACACAAGGAGACAAGATTGAAGCTGGAAGTTTGGTAGAAGTAACATTGAAGAAGTGGACAAGGAATATTACAGACAAAACCTGGCAACACCTGCCTGCAGGTGACTCAGTGCTTATTTTGTGGGACTACATCATAACATGGGACAGTATATAGGAAGGGAGAAACCAATAGGAGGCTAGGGAGGAGTGCAACATGCAAGAGTCAAATCAAAAGCCATAACTAAAGGGAAGGTGATTTCTGTGGTTTCAGAAAGAGAAGATTCTATTAGAAGAGTTAGGAAGGATGAGGTGAGAAACATGGAAAAGGGGGATGAGGGAAGGAGGCTTTACTTTGGAGGTAAAGGGTATTCCTCTGATGAATACTCTTATAAGTGAAAAGAGATGGTCAGTGAAGGGAGGGGAGAATCTTATACAGGATGATGATACATGGGAGATCAGTGCTTGAAAAACCTACTTGTTCTGATAGGGGAAGAGATGGAATGTTTCAGGTCAACTGGCACCTAGAGAAGTGGGAAAACACAGACACAGGGAGATTTCAAGGTAAATGCGAGGGGTGTTGGGAGAGAGGTCCCATTATGGGGCAGCGTCCTCTCCAACATCTGTAATAATTGACATTATCCTGGGATTGAGGAACAATGGAAAAGAGAAATCCATGGAATGAGTCCTATAAGATAGTAGCAGAAAGTGCCTACAGGAGAAAGCCTAGAATGGATATTTTGGAAGCTTTAATTGCATGAAGAATACAGAGATAAGAAAGAGGCCAGATGATTATAGGGGTCATGAATTACAGAATCAGTCTAGAGTAAACAGAAAGAGATGTATGAAGAGAGTGAGTGAAATCTTTTTTTTTTGTTTTTTTGGAAAGGGGTACAGAAAATGAAATTTAAACATCAATGATTTCATTTGTTTAGGGGTCTCCCTGTGAAGAACATCTTTTGCCAATTCCTTTTGGTAGTTGCTCTATAATTTGTTATTTTAGTCTTCCAGAGGTGCCCAGACCATGGAGAGGTTAAGTGAATTGTCTAAGTCACATAGCTGGCATGAGAAAGAGTTGAAAACTGAACACAGAGCTTTCTGATTCTGAGACAGTCTCTGTTTTCCAAGGTATGCTGCCGTAAATAGATAAATGTTATATAAATATATGGATGGAGGGATAGATGACAGATAGCTAAGAGCTGCATGCAAACACATACAAACACTAACACAGATTGATTAGTTCTATAGATTTTCAAATCAAGTTTGGACAGTAGTCAATTTTTGTCTGTTTTGAATGTGTTTATTTTATTTATTTATTCGTTCACTTATTTTTTGCTTTTAGCTCTAAACTCTTCGTGAGTTCAAATATGGCCTCAGACACTTACTAATTGTGTGACCCTGGGCAAGTCACTTAATCCCATTTGCCTCAGTTTCTTCATCCATAAAATGAACTGGAGAATGAAATGGCTAACCACTCCAGTATCTTTGTCAAGAAAACCCAAAAGAGGTCATGAGGAGTCAGATGTGAGTGAAATGACTCAACAGCATTTACAGCATTTTTTTTTTTTGCAACCTATGTGGAAATTAATGCTTACCTCTGCTGAATCATATTGAATTTCATTTTGGAGTCTCTTTTATATTTGAGAATTTTATGTAAGAAGAACTGGGAAATCTATAAGCAGAAACACTCAGAGGACCTCACCACCTATATGGAATCCTTCAGTGATTCAGACTCTGGATTGTACATCCTCCATGACATGACACTATGACAGTTGTGATGACCATGGCTCAACTCTTTTTAGAGTCACTGTTGTTAGTGGTTATCGATTAGACTCGTCATTTGCTAACTTTGATGAACATTTCTCATTATACCTTTGAAGGAGTCTGATATTATTTCAATGGATTAAAAGAAGTCATCTTCTTGTTAAAGAGACATTAATGAATAATTATTTACCTTGACATTACATAAATATCAAAGAAAATGGTAAATTAGTTCAATAAGAGAATTAACATTCTCCTCTAGACATTTCATTGGCAAGCATTATATAAATTAATCACAAACACTGATATACATACATACATAGACACCCAAATAATTGTTCCACATTTTTTCCCAGAAGTTTCATTACTGATGTAATTTAGAGTAATTTTCATTCTACTAACACTAGTGTGTGAGGGAAGGGGTGAGGGCACTTTGGTTAAAATACAAGACATGAAGTCAGGAAAAACCAAGCTCAGATATGACTTCACATATTTACTAGTTGTGTGACCATGGGCCAGTCATATCTCTGCCTTACTTTTTTCATCCGTAAAATGTGAGAACTTATAGCACCTATTACGAGGCAAGTTTCAAATATGTCAATATGTGTAAAGTACATTACAAAAATTACAGTGTTATAGAAATGCAAGTTATTGTTACCACTGATAAGTTTAAATGTGTATGTGTATATGTGTGTGTGTGTGTGTGTGTATGCAGGTGCTCTACTCTAGGACTGACATTTGACAAATGACTCCTCCAAATGATTGTGGAATGCTTTAAAAGTTCATTCTCTCAATCCTGTAACTGCCTTAAAATGCATAAGTACATTAACCTTCTATGGGAGTCTGTATTTAGCCAATTTCCTAAGTACCTGAGTCCATCCATGATTTCTGCTGAATTTTAAGCAAAATGACAGTTGCTTGGTGAATTTTCCATTTTGCTGATTTTTCCTCCCTCCCAACTGATCAGCCATATATTTATTTATCCAATTTAACAAATTGTGGCTTTGGAACACCTGCTTCCTCATGAAAATACATAGTGAAAGACATTAAGTAAAATGTACAAAATATGACAATTCAGTGATTAATCACCTTTGAATATAGTAATAAAACTGCTGACCTCCAAATAATGTCTTGTGGGAAAAGGTAATTTTTATTATAATAGGTAAGGTCCATTTAAATAATTGAAAGTGTCCTTTGGGCATCTGTATGGATAGGTTATAACAGAAAACCCTTTTTACTTCCGTAATTCATTATTTTTGGCGTACATTCCTCCCCCTCTCCCCCTCCCACAGGTTTCAAATACTGCACTCACTGGCTACCAGGAATAGTAGAGTTGATCTGATAATATAGGTAGGGGTTACCTATTTATAGCCTCCTTACCTTTGAACCTTTGTTCCCTGACACCCAATTAGGGGACTGAAACAAAAAATAAATATAAAGAAATAGGTTATGACCCCCTCTGTTGTATTCTTAAATTTTTTACTTCTCACATTCTTATATTTTCTCTTTTATTAATGATTACCCCCCACATTAAGGAAGTTGAAGAAACAGGAAGGAATGGGAGGATTTTTTGGCATCAGGGAAGGACTTGGGGCAGGTAGGTGGCACAGTGGCTATGGTGCTAGACCTGGAGTCAGGAAGACTTATGTTCATGAGTTCAAATCTGGCATCAGCTGTGTGACCCTGAAGAAGAAAAAGGCAAATCACTCCAGTAAGAAAATCCCAAACACGGTCATGAAGATACTGGAGTGGTTTGCCATTTCCTTCTCCAGCTAATGTTACAGATGAGGAAAGTGAAGTAAACAGGGTTAAGTGACTTGCCCAGTTTTAACAAAGATTAATAATTTAAAAAAAAACCCACTCAACTCCTATGTGACAGAAACTGCAAGGCACTGAAAGGGATATAATCATCTCTGCCTTCCTCTCTGTCTCTCTCTAATGTCTCTGTCTTCTGCCTCTCAGTATTTGTAATGACAGGAAAATATTAAAGTAAATTTAGAAGTTTCTTACTCCTGAAAGGAATTTTCAAATTTGGTTCATTTTAATTGAAGTCATTGAAACTAAATATTGCTTGAAATAACACATACTAGCTTATGGCCATAGCTGAACCCAGAACAGACTCTCCTATTACTGACAGGAGGATGGGGAGCAATGCCTAAAATCAAATGTGGAAACAATGCTCCATAGAATAAAGTTTCCTGCTATAAAAAAGGAAATAGCAGAATTGGTATCTATCAACAATTATGAAACTTTAAATGATTTGAAAATGAATGCTATGAAAATTCCACCTACATTCATTCTAAATCAGAAATTAGTCATATAATTCAATCCTCCATCCAGGTGTTCAATTACCATCCAGTTGTTGCATGACTAAGATTCTAAAAGGTGATCAGTTTTGGTTAAAAAAAAACCAGTCATGCCTGCTCATATTTCTTTTACAAGAAATGTGGAGTTTTAGGTTTTTTTTAGACTTTTTTTAACTGAGATTTTACATGCTGAGCCTTTAATAAAGGAGTATTAATCCTATTTAGTCATTCTGGGTATTTTCTAGCCAATGACAGTCTGCCTCAAGTTTCTCCCCAGCCCAATCCATCCTCCATTCAACCACCAAAGTTATTTTCCTGGAGTGTTTCTATAACTAAGTTATCTTTCCTACCCACCCCACCCCATACACTCAGTAAAAACCTTCACCTCTCACCTCCAAATACATAATCCTCTGTTTGTTATTCAAAACTCTTCACAGTCTAACCCAGCCTTAATTTTCTGATCTTCTTATACTCTACTCCTCACTACATAAAGCTTGATGTAGTGACACTAGCTTCCTAGTTGTCCCACAAATAAGACACTCCACCTCTTGGCTTAGGGCATTCCCTGTGCAGGGAAAGCTCAATGTCTTCAACTCAGTCTACTGACTTCAATCACTTCCTGTAGTGTCCAATTAAATTTTTTTTTTTAAACAGGAAGCCTTTCCTAACCCTTTTCAGTTCTAAGGCCTCATGTCTTTTAATTATTTCCTACTTATATATAGTATGTTTGTATTTGTATAACATGTTTCTGCCATCAGATTGGGAGCTCCTTAAGGACAGAGATTATCTGTTGCTTCTTTGTGTATCTCAAGGGCTTATCACAGTGCCTGACACATAGTAGGTGCTTAAGATACATGTGTTTTTGATGGAGATGATGATGATGATGAGGATGAGGATGATGAGGATGAGGATGGATGATGTTGATGATATTGGCAACAGGAAAAACAAATAGGTTGGAACCTGGGATAATGTTAACCTATAACCCATAAACTCTGAGTAGAAAATAATAGTTTATACTTACAGCAGACATGATGAGTTCTCCTCCCAAATTCTGGATTTCAGCTTTCACTTGACTGCATATTTTGAGCTGGTGAGAATAGAATTTGATTTGTTCCAGATAAGCCAATAAATCTTGCTTGCAGGATGGGTCAGGGCACTAAAATAAACCAAATGGAATAGAAAAAGAGAGAATAATATGTGATGTTTAAATACACAAGTAGTGACAATGCATGCAAATAGAATGGCCCTGCTGTTTGCTCTCCAAAACAGATATGGAAGTAAAACATTTATTATGTGTTTCCTGTGTGTCAAGAAGATTGTGCTAAAGGTTGGAATACAAATACAAGCAAGAAAAACAGTACATGACTTCAAAGAATTCACATTCCAAGAGTAAAAGACAATACGTAATAGCCAGGAAGACACATGGAAGCTACACTTCTTGGCAAATATTAAGTGCTTAGTGAATGCTTTACATGCCTGTCACCATAAGTATTTTTATGGCCAAAGAAACATTATATACACACACACATATACAAACATATATATAATATACATATATACACTTTGTGTATGTGAGCACACATGTGCATATGTGCTTATATTTTAAATGTAATTCTCTTTGACCTTTAGGTTTAAAATCAGAAAATTCTTTTAAAACACATAATCTACTTTTTTGACTTGTGGCAGGTTTTTTTTACCCTATTTACTTTTTATGTTGTTGAAAGATAGAATTAAATTCAGAATTATGCCCAAAGGGCTATAAAAATGTTCATACCCTTTGACCTAGAAATAGCATTTCTAGGCTATATCCCAAAGAGATCATACAAATGGGAAAAGGACCCACATGCACAAAAAACATTTATAGCAGCTCTATATGTGGTGGCAAAGAATTTGAAACTGAGGGAATGCCCATCAATTATGGAATGGCCGAACAAGTTGTGGTATATGAATGTAATAGAATACTATTGTGTTATAAGAAATGATGAGCGGATAGACTTCAGAAAAACTTGGAAAGGCTTACATGAAGTGGTGCTGAGTGAAATGAGCAGAACCAAGAGAACATGGTGCCCAGTAACAGCCACACTGTGTGATAGACTTAGCCCTTCTCAGCAATGCAAGGATCTAAGACATCTCCAAAAGTCTCACGATGGAAAATGCTATCCACATCCAGAGAAAGAACCATGGAGTTTGAATGCAGATTGAAGCATACTATTTGCTCTTTTTTCCCCCTTCTGTTTTGTTTTGTTTTGTTTCTTCTTTCTTGTGGTTCCTCCTATTGGTTCTAATTCTTCTTTACATCATGACTAATGTGAAAATATGTTTAATAGGAATGTATACGTAGAGCCTTTATCTGATTGCGGGGGAGGGAGATGGGGAGGGAGAGGGAGAAAATTTAAATGCAAAAGCTTATGGAAGTAAATGTTGTAAACTAAAAATAAATTAATAAAATTTATGCTAAAAAAGTAAAATAGTTTCATATTAAAAAAATAAAACTATCCTCTTCAAGGACTGATCAGTTTGTGACTGGGGCAATTATACCTCTTTAATAAAAGCAATAGTGCAAAAAAATAGATTAAAAACAATAATCATCTCTTTTTTTTTTAATAAAACAGACTTGACCTTTTTAGGCAAATGAACTCATTTCTGCTTCAGATAGTTGCTTTGGATGAAGCAATAGCCAATGAAACAGACATTATAGAACATTTTAGAAGACAAATAGCCATGTCTTCAATGTCTTCTCATCGATACAGACATTCTCTCCAGGTTAGTAAGAAACAACCCTCTCACATCTACCCCTCTTAAAAGATTCTTATCCATTTCCAACTGCAAAGCCTCTATGGGAATTTACATCCTCCACATACTTTATACTCTAAATCTATGTTTTCCATATGTTTATGATGAAGAAACAGATCTCTGTTTATCTCCCTGTTTCTTCAAACAAAGGTGGGAACATGTTATGGAGAGAGGGTTTCTTTTTGGGCATTGATTGAATGACATGGCCTCTGCAGCTCCTTCTAACGCTGAGATGCTGAGACTGTAATTCTATCTTCTTTCTTGAAAGTCATTGATTAAATGACGAGTAGCTTGGAAAATGAGAATGACATCTTTGTAACCATAATGGTAGTCAAACTTTCAGGCTTTGTTTTACAAAACAAGCTCTCAAGCTTGACATCTGCTTAGCTCTCTATTTTGGAGATTTTTTTTAATCTAACTTTTATATGCACCTGGACATTCACCAGAGGCAAGCAGATGGTAACTCAAATGTTCTTTCTCACTTCAAAAAAGCATTAACTTTGTGTGTTAGTTTTTCTTTTTTTGTGTGTGTGCTAATGTTTAATATAACATTTAGTAGGAAGTGAAAATTAGGTACAAGTATCGTACTTCAGATTGATTTTGTTTCCCTTCAAACAAAGAAATAATTAGTAACATTGACTTCTTTGTAACATGAATTCATAATGCACATCAGGTCATTTTTGGAAAATTTGGAACACAAATGCTCTTCTTTTATGGTCCATTTCAAATAACTCCTGCAATATCCTAGAAAGATATTAAATATTGCTAGGCTGGCACAGTGAAGGCTGTTAGTGAAAGTTACAATGGGATTCAGCTTTTGCTCCAGCTTGCTGAGTTAGGAGAAGCACATAGTGTAATGCAGTGGAGTCTGCCTTTTGCATTTCTATTGGCAATTGCACCAATGACTATACTCCACGTCCAAGACTGAGCTGCAAATGGTAGTCCTTAAATACTGCTGTATGGTCGGATTCATAGGCCAGCACTTCCAATATGAATAAACAACAAATAAGAGTTTGGAAATATCCAGGGAGTAGGAGGAAAACCATCTTTAGGAGGACATTTGCAAATATAGGAGAATTCCTTTCTCGTGTCAGTATAGGGAGACAGTGCTAAAATGTAGGCTTTTTCAGGTTAGAGCAGCTTGTGTGGGAGTTACAGACCACATCTCTGTAGTGTTTTAAGGACTATGAACCACTTTTCCTTTTAGAAAGAAAACCATGTAAGGTAGTAAGATTATCTGCAAAATAAAAAATAAGGAAACTGAGTCTTTGGAAAAAGAAATGATTTCCCAAGACCAAGTAGTTAGCAAATATTAGAGCTAGCATTCTAAGTCAGGTCTCTCCAACACTAAGATTCCTTAAGCAGCATCTAATACAAATATTTCTTTTACAGATGAGAAAACTAAAGCTTCACATAGTAAAGTAACCAAGTGGATTTGAATAATCTAGGGCTCTAACAAATGCCTTTGGGTTCCATATTACTGTGTCTATCAACTATGTTATGCTTTTCCAAGTAAATAAACCAAAATATTTTTGTTATTATTGTTTTTATCCATCTATTACTTTCAAGGTATTATACTAAGCAATGAGAATAGGGATAGAAATAGCAGAATGAGCCTGTGATTTCATTGCTATTGGCATTCAAATAAGAAAACACATTTTTACAACGTAGCCTTACATATTCTCTGTCATTTATAGTTTTGGAGGTTTTCCTTAAGTAATAAGTGGTTAGGTGACCTGCCCAGGGTCACACAGCCATTATTTATTACAGATTGGTCTTGAACACAACTCCTCTTGGTTATGAGACTGGTGTTGTAGCCGTCACAACATAATGCATCTCTCAAGCACTGGGACGACAAACACAAAATGGCCATTTCTTCTCTCCTTTTTTCTCCCTTCCTTCCTCCCTTCATCCCTCCTTTTTGCTTTCCTCCCTCCCTTCATTCCTTTCTTCCTTGTCCTCCATTTCTTTATCCCTCCCTCCCTCCTTCCTTCCTTCCTTCCTTCCTTCCTTCCTTCCTTCCTTCCTTCCTTCCTTCCTTCCTTCCTTCCTTCCTTCCTTCCTTCCTTCCTTCCTTCCTTCCTTTATCTCTTCTTTCTTTTCTTCCTAATAGATATATAATACTCACTGAGTGAAATGAATCAAATCAGATTAACTTTAATTGAACTGAATTAACTTCTACAATTTAGAAGTACATGATTACCCTGAATAAATGAGATATTTGATGGAGTTAGGGGTGCTGGAGTGTTAAGTGGAACTTGAAATACACTGAGTGGTGGAGAGGCTTAATATGAAAGACTTACATTCCAAACCATTACCATTCCAAACCATTCACTATATAATTCTGAGGAAGTAACTTGACTACTCATTTGGGATCATATTATGTAAAATGAATATGATAATATCTTATAATACCTACTTTTGAGGTTTGGGGGGGTCTAGTAACAGACCTGAACCCAGAAAGGGAAAAACAAGGCCTCTTGCTCCTTTGTCAAGTAGGTCCCTTTTTCAGGACTCACTCACAACAAGAAGAGATGATCTGTATTACAATGTGACTGAAAAATCTTAACAGGCTACATATCTATAGTAAGTCAGAAGATGGGGTATTAGAGGAAGAATACTGTCATTGGAGTCAGGGTAACTGAGTTCAAGTCTCTCTCTCATGTTTTGGATCTTGTGTGACCTTGGAAATTCATTTTATTTCCACAGGGCTCAGTTTCCTCACTATCAAAACGAGGGGGTTGGACTGAATGACCTCTTAGGTTCCTTCCAGGTCTAGAACTCTGATGCTATGACCCTGTGGTCCGCCTCTTCTTGAACCAAATATTCCTCTGCTACCTGGTCTCCGAACTCAGACTGCTATAATCCCTGCCAGAGTTATATAGTGAATGGTTTGGAATGGTAATGGTTTGGAATGGTAGGTTTGGAATGTAAGTCTTTCATATTAAGCCTCTCCACCACTCAGTGTATTTCAAGTTCCACTTAACACTCCAGCACCCCTAACTCCATCAAATATCTCTAAACTTTGGATTGATTGACGTTTAACATACTGTGGAAAGGGTGCTGGATTTAGAATCAGAGAAGATAATAGCTGTGTGATCTTGGACAAGTTAACACATTTAGACCTCATTTTCTTATTTGTGAGATGACAAGCCTAGACTCAAAGACTTCAAAGCCTTCTTTGAGCTTTAAATTTATGATCTTTTCATGCTTTTAGACTAGGAAACTTAAAAACAACAAAATGTCATTACTGAGCATATGTTCCAAGTCACAAACAAAGAAAACAAAAATACCCTGTATTATGCCACTTATAAGTGAACAAGTTTAAAGAAACGGGAAGGGGTGCTTCCTGGATAAGTCTAG